AAAAAAAAACGCATGGAACCGAATTACGTTTGTGAAAAATTTGCTAACCTTATTGAAATTCAGCCAATCACTTGTAGACATCACTTTGTCCGTATACTTGCATGCTGTTGATACAATATAATTTCTTAAAATTTGTCAATTTGAGATTTAATATCTATTTGATTCAAATGTTTATTGCAGTGTCAATGTCAATTACAACCTACTAATCGACATATTTGTTGCAGTATTTTTCGTCATGCATCTTACTATCATGGTGGATGTCGTCACCTAGCCTATACATGCATTGCAGCATCGTAAGTTCATTCCATGAGGTGTCCTAACCTTTACGTATGAGTTTTTCATCTTAATAATGTTTTAAACTCTATTTACAAGTTTATTTATCAAGCTTTAGTTGTGAGATTTCTTTTGAATCTTGTTAGAGATGCTAAGGAGCAGGTGTTAGACAGAGGATCCCTCAACCCAAAGGCATAGAAAACCGTGGACCGCATCGATCCCTTTGAGGGCTCTTACATGCCCTACGTGGGAATGAGGCATGTTTTCAGAGTAGAAACATCCCCGAATGGGAGGGAGGCCTTCTTCAAAGGTGAATCATAAATGTATCAGCTATAAAAAGATTTACAAAGAACGACGTGGGCACGCCGAAATTATAATTAGTGAGGCATAAACGCTGCTATTGTCCGTAAACGCCATGCCACTACTGAGCAATGTTTGATGCGATGTTTTCAGAGGCTGTAACGGCTCAATTCTTCACTATGGGCATGCCAATGCCCCCAATGAAAAAGAGATTCGCGACGGTGACATGTGTTTATTTGATATGGGACCGGAATATAACTGCTATGGTTTGTTTACTCTATAAATTCATCAACTTACAATTAAACAAATATTCACGAATGAATAATTCACTGTTGTAGCGTCCGATATTACCACTTCATTCCCTGCGAATGGGAAATTCACTGACAAACAGAAAATAGTGTACAATGCGGTGCTCGAAGCAAATAGAGCAGTGTTCAAAGCAGCAAGACCAGGTAGATTTCTTTACAATTCACCACTTACAATGCACTCTATCGAACTTCGCTTAAGGAGTTCGATGGACAGACATGCATCTTCTTTCTGAGAAAGTGATTCTCACACACCTCCAAAAGGCAGGACTACTAACAGGTGTGTTAAAAAGCTGAACTTTGGGATACATGTATCATTGAGTGGGAGTGAATAACATGACATGGCCAATTTCATGTCAGGTGATATCGATGAAATGGTCAACGCAAGACTAGGGGCTGTATTCATGCCCCACGGCCTTGGACACCTCATTGGTCTCGATGTACACGACTGCGGCGGATATCTCGGGGTATGTTCTGCTGTACAGCATTTAGTTCTCAACTGGAATTGTTTCGCTAATCAATTATCGATAGGATGCGTTACCGCGCTCCCAGCTACCCGGTCTGAAATCGCTACGTACCACCAGAACACTCAAAGAAAGGATGGTAAGTTACGACCAAGAAATCGCAAAATGGATTCATACTAATTTGTAATGATCGTACTTCAAATAATAATTCTGTAGGTGATAACAATCGAACCCGGCTGCTATTTTATCGATAC